TTATTAATTGGATAAGTTATTCAGAACATTTAGATTACGAATAGGAGTTTTGTCAATAAATAAGTTATTTACGAGTAAAAAGATAAATTATCTGAATTGATTTGAATATCTAATTATCTATTAATAATTCAGTGCTAAATTATATTGGCTATTTCAAAAAAATTATACTAAAAAAATGTATTATGTTAATGAGATTACCAATAATTTATTTTGTTAAATATTGATAAAATTTTTTTAATATATTAATGTAAAAGTAATATAAAAATTTATTATCAAAAATATTTTAGTATAGTAACAATATCTAAAAAACATTTTTTAAAATATGTTGAATTTCTGCAATATGCCATTTTGAAATACCAACTGCTGGTGCAGCACTTGGTGGTCTTCCTATATACTTTAACTATAAAGTTAAAATAAATTAAAATTGAACTGTTTTTCTTAAAAAAAGAATCAATGTAATTTATAATACCTACCTCTTGCTTAGAAGGCAATAATTGTTTTAATCTAGGTTCAATAAATGTATATGCACCACTATTTTGTGGTTCTTCTTGGCACCAAATAAATTCTGCTTGAAAATTTATAAGTATTAAGAATAACATGAATAATAAAAGATTGTAGAATAAATCTAACCACCTTTAGCATTTGTATATTTTTTTAATTCATTCTCAACATCGGATTTTGGAAATGGGCATAATTCCTATAAATACCAAAAAAAATTCATTATATGATAATAACTGTTATAATTAAAATTAATAACTGTATCTTCGATTGACTAGTAATAACATGCCTCAAATCTAATGATAGCGACTTTATCTTCGATTTTTTTATTTTGTCTTTCTTTAATTAAGTCATAATAAAGTTTTCCTGATACGAATACAATTTTTTCAATTCTTCAATTCAACAATTTAAAAATATATTAAAATATATATTGTAACAATAAATTATTAATCGGATATTTCTTAATAACTTACTTATCATTATCATTAACTGATTCATCTCCAATGATAGGTAAAAATGTAGTTCCATGTAACATATCTTCAAAAGCAGATACAGCTGCCTATATTCACAATATTTTTAGATTTTGAATTTTTTGATAAATAGATAAATGCCGGTAAACAAAACTTACAGGTGATCTTAGTAATAGTTTTGGTGTAGCTATTATTAGAGGTTTTCTAAAGTTCCTTTTCATCTGAATAAATAAAATACATAAAAATATTAAAATACATTAACAAAAAAATATAATGATACTGAAAAATCTTACCTGTCTTCTTAAAACATGAAAATACTGTGCAGGGGTTGTTGGGTTCACAACATGCATATTTGGATTATTCGGT